TGCAGCTTTCAATTGGGGGGGGGGCATAAGGTTTAGTAATAGCAATAGCAGTTAGACTTATATACCGCTTCATAGGGCTTTCAGCCCTCTCTAAGCGGTTTACAGAATCAGCATATCGCCCCCACAGTCTGGGTCCTCATTTCACCCACCTCGGAAGGATGGAAGGCTGAGTCAACCCTGAGTACTGCACCCTAACCACTGCGCCACCTTGGCTCCTTACAGGGGGGCATGGGCCTTTCAGGGTCCCTTGGGCCCTTTTGCAACCCCCTGCACTGTGAAGCAGGTGGGCAGCAAGGGGGAGAGGGGCTCCCAGCAGCTGCATCACTGGTGGCCCCGTTGCCTGGCTTTCTTTGGGACACCCAGCCCTCCAGGTCTTTAGAAGGGACGTGGCCTTATTTATTATTTTGAAATGTATTTGCTGCCCATCTCAGTTTGAGGCAACCCTGAACTCTGAAGGGGAATTGGTGCTACCTTTGACTGATGGCAACATACACACCCCTGGTGTCTCCAGCCCTACAGCTGACTTGGAAATGGCGAGAGGCTCCTGCAGTGCAGGGAGAGCGAAGGGACAGGTAGAGGAGGTGGAAGCTGTAGCTACAGCCGTCCTGGCAGCACAGGTAAATGCAAACAGCAAGGAAGGCTCCTCTGTAGGCATCCTCCCTGCCTGGTGTTTGCTCTGCCTACAAGTGGGCCTGGCCTGAAGAACACCTGAAGCCCGGTTAGTTTTGCCTAGCGAATAGAGATTTGTCTCCGCCGTTCAGCTTCCTTTCCCTCCAGCCTTCTATGCTTCCCCAGCTCCCCTGATCATGGATCCAGCAAAAGGGGCAGATGCTACAGGAATCTGAAGGTTAGAGTTGGTCAGACGGGGATCTCGCTGCAGGTTCATGTTGCAATTCTGCACACGCATGGATATACCAGCTGCACAAAACAGCCAAATAAATCACTCAACGGCAATCATGAAGAAATCACTTGTGTGGTTTAATGAACCTGGGGAGCCCAAAGTGACACCATTCAAAGGCGGAAGAGGAACGTGTACAGCAGATTCATTCCTCCAGCGGAGGACCCAGCGGAGTGTAAGATCAAAGCCCCAGCTTCCTCCATTAATAAACAATTAAGTGCAAAACATACAAGAGTGAATTAACTTGTTTTGATTTAAGATACTAAAGAGAAAGAAGACGCACAACTAGTCTCCGGGAGGCTTAAAACGCGGTCCTTTCGTCACAGGAGGCTCCTCCGCGTGGCTGAGCCCCGGACACAAAACACAACATCCGGCTCTTGCCTGGAGTGTTACTGAAATGCTAGTGACAGTGTTTTTACTCTGGTTTCCACAACCTGAATGCAGTGCTGGCCAATTAATCAGAAAAATAATCATCCTTCAGAGGATCCGACCAGCTGCTTTCTGGAAAATATGACGGCAAAAAGGTTATCGCTGTACTTTGGAGAGGAAGGATCGGAGGGCCAGGAGCCTCCGTCCCTTCTCCCAAGATTCAGGCTTGAGCTGAAAAACTTGGCTCTTAAGAGCTGAGCAGGGGAAGAGCCCCCAGCAGTGAAGCAGCACTTAAGTGGCACCATGGGTGAAGGATTGGCCCCCTGACCCAGAGCTTCATGCAGACACAGGAGCTCTGAAAGCCTCGGTTGCCAACACTTTGGATCTGGCAAGGAAAACGTGTGAGGCTCAAAAAAAAAAAAAAAAAAAGGACTACAAGGATCACCAATTGCCAACTTTCTGCAGGATTCCAGTTGCCGCTAGATGCATCTTAAGAGACCGCTGTACCGGCTGAGCTCCTGCACGGTTTGGTCACAGAACTGCAAGCAACAGGTTAGGGCGCCTATTTGCAATTGGCCCTTTGGGGAACTGGAATTTCCGTTAAAAAGTAACAAGAGTCCACTAGTACAGTTAGTCTATTAAAGGCAGCAGTATTTGTCATCATTTGCCCAGCTGAAAAACCCAATGGCCACTTCCGCTAAGTGTTTGGAACACGATTTCCCCAAGGGGAGCCCCGAGACAATATTTTCCGTTGGGTTACAGCTGGCTTGCTTGTTTGTTCGGCGGCGGCTCGTTGCTGAGCCGCCTTGCGCACATCTGGCTGGAGGGAGCAGCTCAGCCTAGTAGCTCAACAGCAGTCTGAGCATTTGGCGGCCTTTCAGCATCTGGCCACTTCAGGTGCTTGTTTGTTTTCTCAGTACAGGAAGGCTGCAGGTTACAAAAAAAAAACCAAGCTGCCAAAACGAGAGGTGCATTTGAACGTGAGGGGCCCTTCGGGGCATCTCAGTACCTGAGGAGGGAAGAGAAGTTTGGCTTGGTGCGCCACCTTTGTCTCTCCGGGTACCTGGT